ACAAGCAGTTTTTCCATCCATGTACCTCTAACACCAGAACATGGAAGCAGCATGAGTGATGGATGCAAACGTTGCACCGCACATAAGAGCAGCTGCGAAGTTAAAACATGAAACTGAATCTTCCATTTATTCCAAGTCAGAGGGCAATTGAGGCATAAGAAAAGTTCGTAGTGTCTCAGTGCAGAGAAAGTCAGCAGTAGCTGAGCGACCCAATCCTGTCCCCCGTCCAGGCCTTCGTACCCACAGCGAGCACCGCTGTCACACCGCGTCTCTGTTGAACCCAGCGTACATGGCCCAGAGCTAAAACAAAGGCCCGCCCCTGACGAGCGCTGAAGCATGTGACTCATATTTGATCGTAGAGAGAGTCGAAGCTGGGAGGCAGATCTGCTCTTACCCTACGACTCTCCCTGGGAGCGGGGGCAGCCTGCAGGACTGCTGCTGCTGCACATTCCTCTCCGCTCTGCTCCGGGAGGAAATGCAGTCCATTAGCATCACATGCTAACGGAGGCGCGCGGATTCGGAGAAGGCAGAACCACTCACGTGTTGCCTCCCGAGTCCAATCAAGCTAAACATTAGCTAAAAGGGGGAAAAAAAGTTATTCTTTAGCATTTTGAAGCTGAAACAAAGTTGAAAAGACATTATTTTTAAGTAATGCGAGTTTCGGAATGTCCGCCGAACTACAGGGACTTTGTGTCGTGTAATAAACTGAATGAGAGCTAAAGCAAATAAAGCTCTTTAACCTTTTCACATTCTGGCAAATATAAACCATAAATTTTAGATTTTTTAAAAATGATTTTCTGAGACAGACCAAGATAAAAGTAGTGTATAATTATGAAATGGCAAGAAGGATGCAGGCATTTCAACTTTTTTTTTAACAAGCTCTTTGGCCCTGCTGAAGAAAAAACGCAAATTCCCAAGTGTAAGGTTGTAACATGGAAGAAATGTTAAAAAGGTTTATGAAAACAAGTGCACAATCAGTTGTACGTGTGAAAGTTTCCTGACTGGGTTGGCAAGCCTGGACTGGCTGTGACACAACCTTTAATAATTAGCGGGAAAGAGGTTCAACTCGTGCTTGCACAATGGGCACGGCATTAGCCAACTACTGTCTGTCATTCTCAATAAACCTGAACTCCACTCACAATGGGCGCTCCCCGGCTCAATGGCCTCAACCGGCACACTTCGTTAATTAAAGAGGTGAAAACGAAGGTGGCTGAGTGGACCTGTCAGCGCCCACGAGTCTGCTGCCGTTATTGATGTTTATTTGCTTTTAATATGTTGGCAAAGTGAACCAGGAAATACATTGTTAAAGCGAAAAGTGACCTGTGACAGTTTGACCACTTGTTATTTTCTGGTTTGTCCAGATATCTTAAAGCAACTATTACTGATTTTTTTATTGATATTTTCAACCTATTTATTGCTGCTAAATGACAGTGGAAAACAAGACTTTAAGCTGTGGTCAGAGACTTCCAAGCCGTCTTCCGTTCTGTCATACACCAAGATTTTCTGTTCATAATAAATTCTCACTCCATGTATAATAGACATCTACATGACGTCTGTCATGGAACATGTTGGAAACCTTTAGGAAGTTTGAATTCAGGTAAGGATCTATTTTTCTATAATGAGCACAAAGAGGCTATTGTTTTTGTGATGCTGACATTGCTAAGCTAGTCTGACTATTGCCTTTCTATGCAATTCCGCTGGATTCTCATCTCCCTTTACTGGGATTTCTCCCATTGAGCTTGAGTTCCCTGGTGAACATAAGGAGAAGTTTCAACTTTCGGCGCCGTTAGCTAGCTAATCGTTATACATGTCATGGTCAAAACATTAGCAATGAGATCAACTTTAAAACTTCATCGGATTCCATGCCTCCAGGAAACGATCGTTTCTCTATGGCCGAGGCTCCAGACCCTCTGTAAGAAGCAAAACATAGGTTTTTACCAGGCCAGTGCTAAGATGTGAAGGACAATTTAAAATGTCAACTCTGCAATTATACTGTGACTACCTTCTTTAAATGCATCGTGGGAAACTGAACTACATGAATACAAGACTACTTCACACACTATTGGCTGCCATTTACAAAAAGCAGCCAAAGAAGATAAGACAGACGGTAGACATTAACTTCTGCAGTATTGCTAGGATGATTTCCACCTTGTGTATTAATACATATTAAAACATATTTGGTGTTTGAACTATTAAAATAGGCAGTTATGAGTGTCTTTAGAGAGGGTCTTATGTATTTGAAGATTTCCAGTTTTTGTGAGTGGTTGTGCTCCCTAACAAGAATACCACAGCTGCACTAGGTACTAGTAGGAGTTTACCCAATTTTGCTGCTCAAAGACTGTTCTAGTCGGAAGTGAGGTCAAGATAGAGTTTTGGGTGTTACACACATCTCACCAAATCATTGCTTCTTTAGGTCGTGCCATCCTCTGTTGCGACACCACACAGCAGCACAACTTCTATATACTAAAACTTTGCAAAGTTATGAAACTGTAATTTCAGTCAGCGCGTGGGAGGAGAAAATGGACCGTAGTCCGGAGGAGGAGGCGCATGGAGGCGAGCAGGATGATGCAGACAAAGAGTCAGGCAAAACTCATTGATCAGAAAAAAAAAGCAAAAGAAAACTCTTCCTCCCTCGCTCTCGCTTGTTCTTCCACTTCTGCTTCACGATGCTGCTGTTTAATAAACCAGAGGAGGCTTCCTGATGACTCAAAAACCACTGCAGACCGGGAACTCACGACTGGATAATGTATTCACAGCGTCACTCCACCGGCAGATGCACTTGCTCAGAATTATCACCAAATATAATCTTCCTGCTTTCCTTAAAAGACAGTGGGGAGTATAAGAAAAGTTCTATTTGCTGATAAGCTTTTTTTCTTCATGTTGCATGAAGTCAAAACTGAAAACATTAAGATATTCAGCTTTCATCAAGTTGAAATAACACTGCAGATCATTTGCAGGGTTCCTAATCAAAATACTCTCTCAATAATTTTCCAGACTCAAATATTCAGATTTTTCTGCCAAGTATTTAGCCAATTAGTAGATTATAAACTAAAAAGTATTTAAAAAATAGAAAAAGAAAACAAGAATTACAAATAAAATGTCAAATTTAACATCTATCAGTTCTGTAAACATCTTGTTTATGTTTTCTGGGCTAATCCTTCTAATCTATCACTGACAGTCAGGTATGAGTCAGCACAGGTGAGGTCCATGACTCAGTTGCTGGTATTTCCCTATATAGTGTCCACAACTTATCGTTTTGTTTTAAGTGAACGAGCTTCCTAAAGTGGAATTCAAAGTTAAAGTAATTAACTGAATCAGGACATAGCAATTTGTTAGCATTTTATTTCAGACAAGAAGATTTTCTGTTTATAAAATGATTCAAATTATGCCGTCTGCACATCTATACATGACTCATTCAATAAAAATAACTTTTAGACGCTTAAAGTTCAACTCTACGATGAAGACTTAATAAAGACTTTGTTATTAAGACTTGGTTATTCGAGTGGATGCTAATGACGTTAATAAGTTGTTCGATGCCCGTGGTTCGTTCAGGCTGCAAAAGAGTGAGAGAGAGCAAGACTTATTTTGAGTTTTCTATCTGTATTTGTTATGGAGCTTGTTAAATAAAAAATACATTTTCATATGTCAAAGTTAAGGTCAGGTTCAACATTTTCAAAATTATCCAAAGCAGTGACAACTATTTTAGCAATGCTAGCTGAATTAGCCCTGTACTCTAGAACTGTCTTAAGAATGCATGTTCAAAGTCTTTGGTTTTGACTCGGATTAGACTAGAGGTTTTCACTACAACAATACAAAACGCTAAATAGCTTAACCTGTCAAACTTTGTAATCACTCTTTGTAATTTTACGAAGAAAATTACAAAGAAAATTGAAGTCAAGTTTTGTTTTAGAGCAGCTGTTCTCTCACAACCGCAAACTTCTGCTTTTCCTGAGGAAAAAACCCTAAATGTTCTTGTGTCAGCCAAATCTGTATCTACAGGTCAAAGCCTGAGCCACAAAACTCAAACTCAAAAATTTGGTTTCTGGGAAAAGAAGATTTAACTCTAACCACAACAAAGTCGTGCTTTTCCAAGAGTTTTTAAGAGACCGAACCGAGCCTTCATGCAAGGAGACAGGGGGGGTGGAAATAAGCCTTTAAACCCTCCATAAAGACAAACAAGAAGTCACATGTGCTCCTTCTATAGCAGAGATGTGCTGACAGACCGATGTGGCGGATTAATGTGAAAAGGGACACATGTGAACTATACAGCTCCAGTTGTAGGCATAATGCGAATCTCCTTTAAGTGTAGAGAGATAATTATTGAGGGTGCCATTTTAAAACTGTTAAAACAAAGGCTGTCTTTGTAGAAGTCTTAACACAGACTTCAGTGTGGAGCAGATTAGGAGGGTGAGGAGGTCTCTTGTAGTCATGACCCCAAAGTGAAAGGTCCCCTCAGAGTGGCCCCCTCTGACTCCCCCCTCCTAAGGAGAAAAGATCTTGTCTAATTTCAGACACAGGGACTACTAACTGAGCCATCCTTTGCAAGGGATGAGGACACAGGGGCCCTCTGCAGGACACAAGCACCACAACAAGAGAGCTGCAAACTCCAGAATCATCTCAACCTACAGATTATATTGGCAGAAATAAAAACCCCGACCTGCAGCAGCGCACAGTAACTCAGGAAAATAGCTTAATTCCAGCTATTTTGCACATGTGGGAAAAAAAAAAAAATCAATCAAAAAAAAAATAAATAAAGTGAAATTACAGTCGGTTGCTTGCTCACCAGGCCTCGGGTTGTCCAGTTGCTTTGTGCAGCAGAAGCACAAAAGACTGACTAACTACAAAAATAGGTGTGCAGGACACACCTTCACGAGCCTTTATTTACCGAGGCTCGCGCCAAACAGAAGCAGAGTACAATATCACCTGCATATATAATATATATATATATATATATTTCTCTACGCACACATATAGGCTATATACACACACGGAGACCCTACCTGAGGAATTCTTGCAGACAGGTGTCACAGAACCGGTGTCCACAGGTGGACACTTGGACGGGCTCCCGCATCGCCTTGCTGCAGAGCGGACACTGGAAGCGTCTCTTCGGCTTCTCCAGGAACTTGTAGTCGAAGCCGGGCATGTCTGCGGGGCTCGCGGTCGCTTTTTCTCCCTCTCTCGGGGCCTTCGGGTTACAAAAAAAATGGTACAGCTGATGCCCTCTTGTTTTGTTTTTCCCTTCTGGGAGCAGGGAGCTGTTTGGGGGGACGTTTAAGCCGAAGAGCAGCTCACGTCAAAGCTACGGAGCTCTCGTCCTCCGCCGCCGCTCTTTCCCGATAGAGGACAGCCGCAGGAACGATACCTCTCCTCCGCTGGGTTTGTTTTGACCGGCTGGGCCGCTCTCTTGACTGCGCTGCATGCAGGACTGACACACTGAACACAATGCATTACCCTCACCGTCTGTTTAGGTGCACACGCAGCTCCTCCTTCCCCTCTTCCTCCTCCTCCAAGCGGGAGGAGTCGCCTTGTACCTCCGTTGCCTCTCCTCCGGGATCTTTAATTAGACTTTTTTTGCTCATATTCACCCTACGAACAGTGTCATATACGCTCACCTGTGAGAAAACGTAGCAAAAAAAAAAAAAAAACCCAGGGGAGATAATAAATAAAAAGCCATGTTTTGACTCAAATACATTCATGCAGACGTTAAAGAGGGACAACTACGCCCTCTAGTGACGGATAAATGCACAAACTAATGATTAATCTTTGTGATTTCTGTTAAAATCCAGCACCTGTGCGCTTTAAATCCCCTCCAGCTGACATTGCTACAGCTGATTTAAAAGACAAACACCGCAGATGTGAGGTGGAGGAACAGAGGCAGACCAGCGCTCAACCCCACACATCTGGATCTTCTTTTACCTGCTGCATTGGCTCCGGATTACATCACCATTACATCACCGGGACAAGGACAACAATGGCAGCGGGGCCATGTCCTCACAAAAAGAAGGTGTCTCCGAGGAAGAACATGAGCCTGGCAGCTGGGAGAAAGAATTCATATCGGTCAAAAACACACACCGCAAGCTTAGGATCAGTAAATTTAAATTTTGTGGTATTTTTTTCCGATGCGTTACAAAAGTATTCATGCGACTTTAACTTTTTCACCTTTATCGTATTAGGACCACACATTTAGACGTACTTGATTGTAACTTCATAATTTTCAAATACTTGAATATTTGTTGTATTGTAAAAAATAAAAAATTCTAAAATAACCAATCACATAATTTGGGCATATGAGTTTTATGTAAAGTACAAAGCTTGTGAAGCACAAATTCATCTAAACAACAGCAACAAAGATAAGGATATTTGGAGCCCCACAAAAAATGGAACTATCCCTGATAGTCTTCAGCTGATGGAAAGAGTGATGGAGCTAATTACTGGGTAATGGTGTAAGAAAACCTGTTATAGGAACCAAAGAGCTCTGAAAGCAGAGCAGAGTACAATGACCCTAAACATGCAGCCAGAGCTACAATGAAAGAATTTAAATCTAAGAATGCTAACATGTTCTGAAGTCCAGACCTAAACCCAACTGGAAATCTGAAGAGGTGAAGAATCAATGTTTGCAAATATCGTTCATCCAGTCTGACTGAGTTTTAACTACTTTATGGGGTAAAGCAGGAAAAATGTTTGAGATGTTTCACCATTCCCATCATGGGAGAAGATATGAAGGTGGTTGAGGAGTATAAGTCAGGTTTACTTGTACAGCACATATTCAGCAACAAGGCAGTTTAGAGTACTTTATGTCATACAGTCATCAATTATGAAACAAGCAATACACATTACATTTTGTCAAAGGTCATAATCAAAATCATCAATATTGATCAATGTTTCAGTTATTATCAGTTGGATTTTTAGCCTTGACTTAAAGGAACTCGGTGTTTCAGTTGTTTTGCAGGTTTCTGGAAGTTTGTTCCAGATTTGTGGTGCATAAAAGCTGAATGTTGCTTCTCCATTGTTTGGAGGTATCAACCTTCCAGACCACTCAAATCTGGAAGGTTGACACCACAACAGCGGATTTTTAATGTATTGTGGTGCTAAATCCTTAAATGATTTATAAACTAACAACAGTATTTTAAAGTCTACTCTCTGAGCTCCAGAGATCCAGTGGAAGAATCTGAGGTGATGTTCTCCGTCTTCCTGGTTTTAGTGAGAACGTCAGAAGCAGCGTTCTGGATCAGCTACAGCTTGATTTTTTTAGGCAGACCTGTGAAGACACTGTTGCAGAAAATCAATATGAATGGATGAGTTTCTCTAGATCTCGCTGAGACTTTAGTCCTTTAATCAACTTTGTAACTGTTCTTATGTGACTCTGAAGGTTCAGGTCAGAGGACATTAATACACCCAGATTTAGGGCCTGATTGTTGGTTTCTAGTTGTAATAACTGAAGATGACTAGATTGTTCCTCTTCAGGGAATAACTTAATTTCTATTTCTGTCCAGCTAGAGAAAGTTATGGCACATCCACAAATCGATTTGTTCTAAGCATCTTCATTCTTCATATCCGCCAAAATACAGACAGGAGATTCTTCTTCCCATCAGCCAACAACTTTGGACGATATGAGTTACAGTTTTGAACTACTTTTGTTGTTAAAATTACCATTTGTGTTTTTAAGTGACTAAATACTAAAATAAATACTTTGCAATGCAACGTGTTTTTGAACAAAGCAAACTTTATTAACAAATTCTCTTGTGGTGTTATTTTTTTTATTAAACCACTAAACCTAACATTTTACATCCTTCTTATTTTTTCTCTACTCTCAACTTTCTATAAAAAAAGGTCAAAAATGCTTCATTTGCACCAATGTTCAAAATCACTTTTAATTGTGCAGTTCAAAAACATGCTGTTTTATACTTTTTACTCATGTTCTACTTCACATGAAAAAAGATTTTCTTTACTTTGCTTAACTCACTAATCAGCATTCAAATGAATATATTATGACATAATTAACTAGGAATCAATAATTCACCTTTAAAGATTGAAGTATGAAACTTTAATCTACTCACTGTTACCAGCTGCAGCGGTATTAAACATTAATCACCAGCATAATAAATACGACTCTGTGGTAATCTAATGTATTATAGATAGTTTCCACACTGTTCTATTGCTGTTTTTTTGTAAAATTAATCAGGTTGTAAGTTTTATTTAACTAATTTTGAAGCCTCATTAAATAACCCAGGGACCCTATTCTTTCACAGTGTTTTACTTTTTTCCGTTTGTCTCTAATCAGCTCTTATCAGATGAAGACAGGAAGTTTTCGACGCTCGTTCTGCCATGGGGGGGACTTGTCTTTAAAAATTCAGATGTTTTTGATCTACAGAAACCAAAGTTGTTTATTCTTTTTAATCTGTTTTTTTTCTCCACAAATCCAGTTGAAACCAGTTATTTACATACACTGAATAAAAAGACACAAACACATTTTTTTCTCATCACTGTCTGAAGTTAAATCAGACCAAACTTTTCTTGATTCAGGCCAGTTAGAAATACCAAAATTATTTCTGTCTGCTAAAAATGTCGGAAAACGTTTTAGATTTTTTTTTTTCTTCAAATTTAAGTTCTACAGCTTAAAAAGACAGTCATCTACGACCAAATATACGTACATTTTCTAATTTGAAGAAAGTAAAAATAAACAAAAAATTTCTAAAAAATGTTCTCACCAAGTTTTCTGGCATTGAGCAAATAGAAATAATTTGGGTAATTCTAAGTAACCTAGAAGAAGGACAGTTTGGTCTGATTTAACTTCAGACACTGAGAAATAAGAACAACAAAAAAATGTGCTTGTGCCTATTTATTCAGTACATGCAAATATCTGGTTTCAACTCTATGGGAGGCATGTAATTGAAGCCGGAAAGACGTTGTTATCTGCCTCTCACCATTTTTGGTCTCTATGGCGTGAAAACTGTCTCAGCTGTTCAGCCAGTAAAAATTCCTACGGTAGAATGAAAACAACGGCGGTAGTAGTACGTTGTTTACCGCTGGCGGTGGCATGAATAGCTGCCTGTTTACTCTACAGGCTGCTATTCTCCGCTTTGAAGAATCTGTGAATGTGTCTGAACAAGCGGGGTAACGTGTCCCCTTACGTCCCCCCCGCCACTCCCTCCTCATTATCTAGTCTGAACGCTGCTTGTTTGTGTTTGCAGCACTAATCCAATAAAGAGCCCAAAAACCCAACTCCCCTCCTCGCGCTCTCGTCTCTTGACTTCATCTTTCAGTCTTTTCGTCTCATTCATCCGGCCGTCTTAAGAGGGAACAAAACCTGTTTGACTTTCGCTGGCTTTTCACGGCAGAAAAGCTGCACGTGGGGGAAGACAATCACTCAACACATGATAAGCGGCCTAATGAACTGCAGTAATCCAGCTTCAGTATCAATGTTGCGACATTCCTTTGGCATGAATGGAGTGCGATACACCTGTTTCCTCCCACTGGTTCTGACCGCCAGTGTGTGTTCAATAAACCAAAACGAATATTTGTTTGTTAGAAAAAAACACACACACAAATGGACCGGATGCAGAGGAGGATTGAGGAGGGACTAGGGAAGGTCTCCATCGTATCTGTTCAGCTCAAAGTCATCTGGAACCAGGATCCTCGAACAAAGCTGAAACACAAAAGAGGTAAAGTTAGTACATCTGAAAGAAGCCAAGTGATGAAGATATTAGCATCAAGATTTTTACAGAATCTGCATTTTCTTTGTAATATATGAGTTTGAAAATCAGAGGGTGCTATAACGTCTTAAAACACTAAGTTCAAAAGGACTAAAATGTCAAAACTATGTTGTGAAAGTATTCACACACCTTAACTGCTTTCAATCTCCATCGCATTCAAACCAAAAATGTGAGTGCATTTTATTCAGGGTTTCTGCAGGCTTGCACAACTCTAATTTTAGACTTTTTATCACCACTATAAATGAAATTTAAGACTTGTGTCATGACAAGAAAATCGCATATCTTATACCGTAATGCCAATTTATTTATTTTTGACCACTATGTACATAGCAGCGTACGGATTGGCAACAGAAGTGAGTCAGTGGCGAAGACGAACAACATCTTTTTTGCGTCTTACCATTTATAGACGCAAAAAAGCTAGTTAGCAAGCGTTTATTAGCAGCTAGTTAGCGGTAGTTCCAACCACCTCAAGTCACAAAATGTCTGGGTCTGACTCAAACTTCTACCTGACAGGAAAGTCTCACAAGAAAAATGTATGAAATGAAAAATATGAGTAAATAGTCCTGTCACAACAAAATTTAAGACCTGTGAACAACCTATTTAAGGCCAACTTACATTTTTTTAAATGAATTCAAGACATCTCAATGCCTTCATTTTAGATGCATGTATTTACAAGGTTTTAGACACCCTGTTATTAGGATTTTATGAGACAGACCAAAACAATACGGTGAATCATTTTGAAGTTGAAGGCAAAGGAATCGTATTTTTAACAGACTACTCAAAAAAAAGCACAATACTGGCAAGTCTCTGGACAAGACCAAAAATTGCTTTCTGTGTGCCTGTATGTGTGTCTATGAACCACTGATTACAAAATAAAGACATATAACTACTAAAAATAGATAATGTGAAGTTATATTTAGATGACAAATGAGATTTTTATGGATGCAGTGTGTTGTTGAATACTTTTGCACTCACACCCAGAGAGTTTTTCACTTTTTTTTCACAGATGCAAAGTTGAAATTAGAGACACAAACACAAAAATCACTCAATTGTAAAATGGAAGAACATTAGTGTAGAATTAATTTCTTTTGACCAATAAATGTCTTAAAGTGTGGTGTTCATTTGTATCTAAATTAGACTTTGTTCAGCAAATAGAAGAAAGCTGGTGAACGATTTAGTGATGGACGATACGGACCCAAAGTTTTTTTGGTACAAAATATGTTAAAGGAGTGGTATAGAAATGCTGTATACATAAACTCTGCTACTTTTTTGCCCTTTTAGACTAACTGTTGCTTTGTTCTCTTTCACACGTCACACAAAAACAGGCTGGTCATGGGTCGACTTTGTGTCGGAGTCTTTTCCAGAGGTCACTATGTTTGTGTCTCAGAGTTCAGAGTTTCAAACAAAGCTGCTCGGTCTGGAGGTGAGTTGACCGCTGCAACGCTAATCTCCTGTAACGCTGCAGATACTTTCAGTCCAAAATGAACTCCAGAAGCAGCAGATACGGCAGAAGTATACACGCGTTTGACTCTGTCCGAGAATGCTTGTCTGCAGTTCAGATGACCTTTAATCAGATTAGTCGCATTTCACCACGGCGTTTCTTAAGTTGGGGCAATAAGCAAAAAATATTACGTTTGACTGCCAGTAGGGTGTTGCCATGACAACAGGCCACCGATGTCACTGTGAACGGATGGCTCTCATCGAGCTGCACCGGCTTCGGTATCCCACAATCCTCTTCTTTTCTTCCGAGGCGACCACGGGCCCCCTTCCCCCACGTGTACACCTCACCTTCTGCCAGAAAAAACACCAAAAAAAGAAGAAGAGTTGATCGCCTAATTCATAGAAAAACCTCCTCTTGAGGGGCCAATCCACTCAAATCTTTAACTGACAGCTCTGTGGATTCATAATGGCTCTATCTGTAGGAAGTCTGAGCTGAACAAAGCCCTTCTTTGACAAAGAAAGACCTACAGGCACTGCTGGCCTCTCCACAGGGAGCCACTCGCTGTCACAATACAGCTTTTTACTGTTTTACACCCAACTGCAACAACAAAACTTACAGACAAAAGACATCTGTTACCCATCTAAGGGCCAACATGGTAAAAGGACAGTTCCAGTGTATAAATGGGTTTGTCTAATTAGGTTCGACAAGCCCTGTGAACCACATAGAAACCAGTAACAACAGAAGAGGGAGAAAAAGAAAATAGTTCTTTTGTCCATTTCAGCAAATCACCTTTGTTTTGGAGGTGTTGCTAGTTTGCTGGTGAATGACTAAATATCTGCACACAGGGACAGTTCTTAGAATATCAAACAGATTTTAATATCACTTTGTAGTGAACCACTAGGGGGCTTCACTCAATCCCAGATTACAGGATGTTAGGGTTTAGATATTGTGTGTTTTTGGCACTTTCCTTTACTCTGTTCTGAGTTGGAGTTGAGTTAAGACAAGATGCAAGAAAATTGAAAAATGTTAAAACCTTTGCCTCTTTGTTTCACACCATGCGGCTTTTGCTTGCAGCCGTCTTCCATCCAGCCCATCACCCATGACAGACAAACTGCTAATTAGCTAGCTAACAGGCACGAATTGGCTAATTGGGAGGTTCTGGGCAAATCTCAGTAGGTCAATATGACATTTTTTAAAAATCGGCCTGGTGTGCATTCATGGTACACTGGGTTGATCATGTACACTGCAACTTTTTCACAAAAACGAACTCATGGTTAGCAACATCAAATGAGACCGATGAAATGGGTAAAGCAAACCACTGTGCAATCAAGTCAATGAATTACGTGCACTGAATTAGAAATGTTATAGAAAAATATACAGAATTTCAAGACCTTACTGTGGACTTAACATGTAAGATTATAATGACATGATTTTAATGATGATAGGTCATTCTAAAAGTGGGCCAGTCTGAGGCTTGAAACTACAGGGCTGACAGTGAGTCCCGCTGCAGCCCAGCTAGATGGCACGGTATATTAGCCACTACTTACAGGTAGCTTCAACCGCTTTTAGCCATAGAACCTAATAAAGATGTCTGCGCACGACTCAAACTTTCGCCTGACAGAAAAATCTCACAAGGAAAAAAGAAGTCAGAGAATATACAAGATGAAATATGAGCCTTACGACTAAACCCTAAACCCTATAAAGAGTAACTCTTAACCCTGGGAATGAATCGACCAGAACAAATGTTTAAATCTTGCTGTTAAATTTGCTTGTAGTTTATGATTTTTGTTCCGTTAAAAAAGCTACACAGATCATTCCCTCACCAGCTCCAATGGCCAGGGTGAAGGCGTCACCGCATGCGGCCAAGGTGATGTCCTTCAGGCCGAGCACCTGGTAGGGCACACGGCTGGTGCGCCGGGAGCTGCAGCCCATCTGACCGTGCTGGTTGCTGCCAAATGTATAACACCGGCCCTCTTCTGCATATTGAGAACAAAACGGACAAAACGCAGAAATGATTTCTAACAAAGTGGACAGCTGAAAAATCAGGAGTTTAAATAACAGATGAGATCAAAACTTCTTCATACTCAATCAACAGTGATCGCGTTTTGTTTTTGTGGGAAATACATACACCTAAACAAGGTCAGACACTTGCAGGGACAAATCTGTTTCAGGTATGTGATCATTATAGTAGATTTTTGAACCTGTGACAGCAACAGAATGGGCTGTTCCAATGTCGACGTAAACTATCCTCTCAGAGTTGAGTGGGGCTGACTGAACCGGAGTGTAAGAATGAACTTCTTCAACCTGATTCACATGATTCGGTTCCTCCCCAGCTGTAATCATGTCCAGACCAAGCTTGTTGAACCTGAAACGAAAACAATTTTCAACAAAAGTTACTTATATGCAGTCTCATGTAAGTAACATGCACCACAGGCATGAATTTTATAATAATTTGACCTGTTTTTTATTTTCTTTTTTTAGAGTCCACTAGTGCATCATGAAATACACTATCAACTACCGGCCATCCACTGCAATGCAAGAATATTTTTGTTAAATCCAACATGGCAGACAGATGAAAAAGCAACTCAGGAATATCCACTTCCTCCTTCCACCTTAGAAAGCTCTTACAGGTGAAAAAATATTGCGACATCAAGTAACCCCTAAAGACTAAAATACTACTTATGTATTTTCCAAATAGCAATTTTGTATTTGGAGACAATTACAACTCATGACCAAAAAATCCTAAAAAATATATACATGTATATTTTTACAAAAAATTTTCCCAGTTTTTTTTTTTTTCTTTTTTTATGCTTTAAAATAATCAAAAACAGTTTGGAAAAAAATCCTGAGATGAAGGATCATAATTGATGCATAAAAAGGATAAACAACCATGCAAAAAATATAAATAAATAAGAAAATAAATCAAACATATTCGATTAAAGCAAAAAAAAAAAACTGAATTGAGCATTTTCATTGGCTATTTCTGATCCTTGGTTTAATCAGCATTTAAATACACATTAAATGTCCAAAAATCATATAACACTCACAGTGATTATTAAACACAGACTTAAGACGTAACAGAAGTTACGTGTTACACCAGACCTCATTCTCACCCCTCATTACTAACACACATATCTACATCCTGTCAGCAGAAAGCGTTTTGGAGAATGCTGTCTCACAGGTTATATACAGATGAACTATTTCTTTAAACCTAATCCGTTTCCATCCCACACACCCTCATAACATAAACACAAGTCTGCAGGGTGTAAAACGAGCAAGTCATTGTTCAGGTCAGGGAGGCAGAGCACCAACCTGTTGCTTCCACATGCCAGAATGTTCCACTGCGTGCTGACAACCATGGAGCAATCCACGCCACACACCACCTTCTGAGCCTCCAACTCTGCAGGCAGACACACCTGCTGGGGACTGTTGTGTGTGTCCTGTGTGCCCAGGCCGAGGCGACCTTCAGGTCAGAGAGCCAACAATCATGCCGTCGTCGTAAATCGCTGGTGTTCAAACAACCTTAAAAAAAAAACAAGTGTTTCGTTTCTTGTACCATTGTCTCCTCTTCCCCAAGCAAACACCTCTCTTTCATTGGTCACAGCGACGACATGAGAAGCTCCGCAGGACACCTGGACCAACTCATAGCCCAAGAGAGCCTCCACAATCTTAGGCTGCGCACACAAACACAAAAAAGAGATGATGCAGGAATCACGTGTTGTATCCTGAATGGATGAGTTGATGTGCAGAAGAAGGTCAAGCAAAGCGGTAAATTGAAACAAACAGAACGTACTGAGTGTGGATGTAGAGCAACGAAGTGAAATCGAGTGTGAACAGAAGAGCTTGAGGTGAAACTTGTCAGTAAAATGGGTTTAAAATGTTCAGTTAAAAGGACTTTTCCTTTTCTAATGCTCTCTATATATTTGTCTGACTCCCCAGTAGAGTGTTGAAAATGTTATTGTCATAAGAAGAAAAAAGCAACTGAAATCAGGGAACAATTAATGATTTACAGTCAAATTCAATCAATTAGAATACACGTTCAGAGGAAGCTTGTTAGATTAATAGTACGGTTTGAAAACGACCGTTACACTGGTACTAAACATATTTCTATATTACAAATGTCTTTTTTAATGGTGTGATGTGATATTCCAATATTAAATGTCATATTTTCATTAGCTATAAGTGGAAAATCGTCATAATTATAATTAACAGGAATAAAGGCTTTTCAAACATCCATCTGTGTGTAATTAATCTGTATCAGGGGTGTCCAAACTGCAGCCTGGGGGCCATTTCCAGACCCTAAACTGATTTTCTATGAACCATGACTGCAATTTCAGAATCTGACAAATCTGGACCCCCATCAAAGTGGTTGACAGAAATAGTAATTATTTTATTAAGACTACATTCTAAGGGACAAAAAAAGTTATGCAAAACAAAAATTTTCATATTTTAATAGCCAGCCTTTTAGAATTTTTAAAAATTGTTTAGTAAATGTAACCACATTCAACCAATGACTTCTAATCAAAGACAGACTTTAACGCACCCAAATCTGCATTTAGTAAATTCAATAAACTCGAACAAATACAGGAGGGGTTTTCAGAGAAGAAAAGTGACCCAAATTATGTTTTTGTTCTGAGAGTAGACCACACCCAGGATCTAGGTAAAGTGTTTCACTGAGTGATTATACTTTTCTAATGTATTTGAATAACTATGTGGACAGAAATGTGAAGGCGTACCTGTGTTACATCATTAAAGTTGCCATGTCCCAGACAGCCATTGCTTCCGCTTCCAAATGTCATGATAATACCCCTGTCTGCAAATAAAAACCGGAGATTAACGGCACTTTTAGTCGATGAGCTGGCATGAACGATTACACAGACCAACAGAATCCTCATAATCCCTTTTTAGGAAATGTTTATCTGTGTCACTCTAATAAAATATAATGAAAAAGGGGGAAAAAAAACAGAGTAATGAGTTTTTAATCCCCTTCAGTTTGTGCCTCAGTTATTAATGAAGTACTTCCTGCAGCATGAGAGGTTAAGAGACTATAACCCAATTATCAATTTTTTTGAGTTTCTCTGTTGGGTTCAAAGCGAAAAGAGCTGACCCACCTGTCATGCAGGTGGTGAACAGATCACCACAGGACACGGACTTGATGGTGACCCCTGACTGACCCTCGAGGAAACGGGAAATGAATAGCGGCTGCATCTGATCCCCCAGGCCTGGAAGACTGGCCTCTCCACACACAACAGAGGGAGCCTAGAACCAGGTCTCACACACACACACACACACACACACACACACAGCCACGCATGCCATCACGCATTGTCTGGAATATTTTGGTCCTACTTAGGTGTTGCTTCAGTGATTGCTGCAGTAGGTAACATATATTTTTAAAAATATGGTTTTTTAAACATATTTTTAAAACTGTTGCTTCTCTGGCTCCTCCCTGTGCTTCTATTCCATTTGCAGAAATATACCGATCGGTCAGAAACAACCAATCAGAGCCAGGGGGAGGGTCTTAGCGTTGTCTATCGTACTGCTCACAGCCTCCCCTCCGCTCTCTGTTCATGCTACGGCTAGTTAGCACGGCCACTGCTGATGGCAGAAAAACGGTTTTCCTGGAACTGTAAATTTTTTCTCCGCCATTATCACACTGAGTAGCTAACTGGCAATCTAGAGCAGGGCACACAAACATGATTGACAGAGCTAAGAACCTCCTCCCCCTGATTGGTCATTTCAAATCGAAGTATTCCTGCAGATGGTACTCGGATCACAGGGAGGAGGCAGAGGAGCTCGAGACTGAAGCGAAGGGTTCACCATCCAGCAGGACAACCACCCTAAAAGTATCAAGAGAGGAAAAACAGAAAGGTTTAAATTAAACAGCTTCCCTGTGTGAGAAGTCCAAATCTGAATCAAACTGAGAATCTAACAGAAGATGAGCTCTTTTGCGAAGAAGCAAGGGAAACAACTTTAGTTTGTAGTTGTACCCCAGTGAAAAGTATTGATTTATCAGAGTTGAAAATAAATGACCAGATTTTTTATTACTTTTGCAATGATGATTCCATCACAGATGATTCCAATAAAACACATTGGAGTTTCCCGTTGTAAGGAGGAAAATGTAGGGGAAAAACAATCTGACCAGAGGACTTCCTGTGAAGCGTTTTATCCCTTTATGATGTGAAGGAAGTGTGAAAATGGTGTTTTACCTCCCAGGTAATCAGGCGGCCGGACTTGGTAACTCCCATCTTCTGAGTCCTGCCCAGTGAGACCTGAAGCACTTCGGTGTTCAGCATCGGCAGCCGGAGAGGCGCCGTTATCCCACTTCCCCACGTATACACGGAGGATAGCGGGAGAGAATGCACCTTTCCTGAACCCAAACCCGCCGATGCATCTGATTAACGCCAAGAACAAAAAACAGGAACGATAAGAATCACAGAGGGAGAGCCGGCCTACGCAAAGTCTAATATAACCTCTGGTCCGGTTAGCAGGAACTCTTCCTCCTGGTCTGCCTAGCGGCTGAACGGTCGACAGCGGTTTCTCAATCCTGGAAGAAAAAAAAACAACTCATGAGTCTTTGTCACAAATCAGTGCAATTACTTTAATTATTCGTCCGTTACGTACCGGCGCATTTTCACATTGCCAATGTCTGTGTAGAGATTAAGCAGCGGCCGGATGCAGATGGGCAAAGCCATGATTTCATTGAGCTGGGGCCGTTTGGATGGGTCCAGGTTGAGCATGTTGAGGATGAGCTGCCGGAGTTCTGGGCTGTAGCGGTCCGATATTGGAGCAAAGGTTCCGCTCATGATCTTCAGGACAAGGGCGGGAAGATTCTGGAAGGGAAAAACAAAGAAAACAGGTTTTAGATGAAGACAGATGCGAGCTTTAACAAAACATTTCAATAATGAATGCAAGACCAACTGCAGTGCACAGTTGGAAAAGCGTAGCAGTCATGTTGGTTAGGAGTGATTCCTGTCCTTTCTGAACAGTAGGAGTTTCTATATTAAGTATTGTAAATCAGAAGGATTATTATGACTGCATGAGCCAGAAGAAAGGCAGGATGAAGGATTGTTTTCCTACAGCCGCCTCAAAAGCTCTCTTTAGGCTGGCCAGCTCGTACAGGACGCAGCCCAGAGCCCAGATGTCGCTCTTCTGGTTGTACGGCTTTCCCTCACACAGCTCTGGAGAGATGTAACAGGGAGTCCCCACCACCTGCACACACACACACATGCACACACACACACACACAGAGCAGCCACTGTTAGCGGCGGTAGGGATCAGCTGACACCTTCAGCCAGCCTTCATACATATGGATGGATGGATGGATGGATGGATGGATGGATGGATGGATGGATGGATGGATGGATGGATGGATGGATGGATGGATGGATGGATGTTCAAATGGACAGACAGAAAATGCCTAAAACAAATTCCAGACTTTTCCAGACTATTTGGGAACCACGCTTAATGATTAAATTAAATGATCAGAGTTACTTTTGAACCATAATAACTGGAACATTGACCAATATGTTTGATGTGTACTGATGATTTTAATGACAGCAATTGACAAAGTGTAAAGTCTGTTATTTGTTTCACAATTGGTGACTGTATGATGTTATTATGATGTGAAGCATCATAAAAACTGCTGTGAACTGCCGTGTTACTGAAATATGCTATACATCACCGTGTACGCCTTGCTCTTGCTGACAAGGATCTTCGAGATGCCGAAGTCTCCGATTTTGACGATCATCTGGTGCTTGTCCAGCAGAATGTTCTGAGTCTTGAGATCGCGGTGCAGAATCAGTTTGTTGTGAACGTGGTAGAGAGCGAGCAAGATCTGCACAAAGAAGTGGAGGATGGTGTCCTCATCCAGGAGGGAGTTACAGCGCTTCTGGATGTATTCAGCCAGCGTCCCACCTGCAGGGGAATGCATCATTCACACTGCAGAGGTGAAATGTTGTTGGAGTATGAGAGATAGGGATATCAAATCAAATCAGACAGTAAGAACAGAACAGGGTTCTTCATAATGTGAGTGAAGCCTTACCGTCAGCTTAAGAGGAAATAGAATCTAGAACATGAATATCTGGCAGTTTAACTGAGCTATAATTGTGCTAAAGCATTTTTACTTTTATAACTCCAATTACAAAAGAGATATGAACTTTAATCCATCAGGGAAGTATCTTGCAATAGAAAAGAGAGGACACTACAAAATAAAAGCAACAAGTTAAGAAAATACAAGGAGGAATCAACCATTAACAGCTTAGAAACAAGATAAACCTTCTCATATCCCAATACCTGCCACTTATCTACCACATTTACATTGGAGTGATTTGGTGGAGATGCACAATATATTGATGCATTAACATCTGTATCGGCCGATATTAGTCATCTTTTAGCACATTGGTCTTGGTGTAGTAAATAAAACTGGGCTGATATTAACAACCAATTTTTATTTCCATCCTGTTGCCATTTGTTTCTGGAGGGGGAGTGGAGGAGGTCGGTCACGTGGTGTTTTGTAGTCATCAGTAGTTCTGATTCTATTACAAGTGTGTGCAAATCGTTGTTGATATTCCTCTAATGTCGAAAAAACACAAATTTCAAAATTGTGGTGTTTCCATTGAGTAAGAAACAAACCTTCATTCTCCTACCACTTCCTGTCTTCTTCTTTGGCATTTTCAACTGTTGATTCCATAACTCGTGGGGTGTGAAAAAAAGTGTTTCTGTCACAGTTTTGAGAAACATGTCCATTTAGATATGGCCGACAAACCACCATTTTATCAAAATTTTTTTTTTTTTTTTTTTAATTGGCAAGTTAATGGGCTTAACAAGAATATTAATGTTGGATATCCAATTTGGCCTAAATTTTCACAACGGTTTGGGGCTCAAAACAGGCCAAAGTGTTGAACAAACCAGAACTTGGACAATAAACTACTCAGGATCTTAGCAAAGAATCAAGTCCGCAGCATCAGATGATCCTCCACCATACATTACAGTGGATATAAAATACTTTTTTCACGTATTCATCTTTTGTAATGACGTATAATCTGCTTATTTGCTTTATTTAATAGCATTAAAAGAAACACACATTGACAAGCTAATATTAAAGACACCTCACGAGAAGCTAAATCAGTAAATGATCTGCACATGGGGACATAATACTTAAAATTATTTTGGTATCATTAATCAGACCAACATTAAAAATCCTAATCAAGTGATCTAACTGCTCAGAAAGATAATAAAACATTTTTTTTAAAGTGCATTCAAAGCTTTTTTTTTCTCTTAGTCTGAAAATGAAGACAGTTTAAGCTTTTAATCTGATGATTTCAGGGGGTAAAGAAGCTAGTTACGGCAAAGAACTGTGGAATCACCGGTGCAAAGCTATGTAATTTCCCTTATTACACAGTCCTGCAAAACACCTACTTCACACAGACTTAGATGTTAAGATGCACTCAAGTGGTCTGTGTGTGGAACCCTAAGGCATGGGAAAAGTAAACTGGTTTGCCCAGACAAAAGAGTGCGGTGTAACTGGATCCGGCAGCGAGCGAACCTGGTGCGTACTCCATGGCTATCATCAGGGCCTTGTCCTCCAGGAAGTTCTCATAGTACTCGATGATGTTTGGGTGGTTGAGCAGCTTCAGCACCTGACACTCGTTCTGGGCAGCCAAGCGTTCGTCCCTTGACATCTGCTCAACCGGGATCTCCTTCAGGATGACGAAAGCCCCGTCGCTGCGCCTGCGGCACAGGTGGACGATCCTGACCGACCAGAAGAGACGAGAAAAATTTCGTCAAAAAAATAAATAAAAAAATGAAAGAAGAAGGGGCAGGATGATTTGTGGCAGCTCAGTTTTGGTGAAGTCAAAGGGACTGAATGTAGCTGAAGCAGATGCATCTCATTTAGAAAAAAATGGGGTTAGTTTCTCTTTGTTATCTTAGAGTGAATAGTTCCTCAATTGTTCATTTTTCCCTTGAACTAAGATTTCCGATGTAAATTTGGAATCTTTAACGGGGTTAATAAAAAAGTTTTGCACATCTGCTACGAGATTAAATATTTGAAATTTGACTTAAGTATTTCAAATCCATCTTTGGATAATTTTGCATTGCAAATGTAATTGCAATGCATTGCAAATGTGTAGCAAAAATATTAAGTGAAAGGGAAACATAATCTTTAAAGTATTTTATCAAACAACTGGTAAAGTGTATGTCGACCTCCATGCCTGAGTGGAGTTTGTAGAACCAGATTTTGAGAGGGGTTTGAAAGGCTGAAACGATGATTTTAATTAATCATGATTAATCAATCATTGAAATAACTTTCTACAAATTTTGTAACCGATTAATTCTTAAATGGATAATACAGACTCAAAAAAGAAGCCCATTTTCTGAAAGAACATCTCACTCAGAGCAGTAACTAAGCCAAAGCTATGCAAAAAATTTTTTGCATTTAAGATTTAAAAAAATTTAAATGTGCAAACATATTCTATCCAGAACTCCTAAAGTGGGCCAGTTTTAACTTCACCGGCTTCAAATTCTGTGAAAAACAAAATCCCCTATCAAGCACCTTTGCTGTTCAATTATTAAGTGGTTAACGTAAAAATGAGTCAACTAATCTACAAATGAGGATTCATACACTAAAAAAATGCTCTGTTATTTTACTTTAGGCAATTGTTCTTTTCTTATTTAAAAACATAATTGGATCATGTGTTTATTTGCACCTTTGTATTGATAATATTGTATGAAATAAGCCTAAGTGGTTAATTGACAAATCTGCATAATGTGCCAATTTTGTTTTATCCAATCAATCGTCCAAATAATCTCCGAATAATTGATTCCAAAAATAATAGTTAGTCGCAGCCCTACTTTTGGGGGTGTGTCTCTTCCAACTTTACACACAAAGGGGCCATTTTTGCCCGTTCACCAACTCAAGTTCAACTCAGTTTGATGGAGAGCATGTACATATATGTGCCTATATGGACTTTGACTGGGCTGTTCTTTGAATGAAACCATTCAAGTTTGTCCAGCTTTGCCCTGTATTTAACTCAATCTATAAACTCTTACCAATATCTGTTACTACTGATAAAAGGCTTCACTAGAGCGTGAAGGTACCGCCACCAATCTTCATAATGATGTGTGCAGTGTTAGTTCTAGGCGTTTTGCATCTCTTTCTCCACGCCTGCTGTTCCTTACATGACCTAATTCTTTCTTGTCTTGGTCCTTCCCTGGCCTATAAATAGGTATGTTTTATGCCACAATCTCCATTTTTAACCGACTAAACAGTGATGGATGAACTTTTGACAGCTTAAGATATTGCCGTTGTTGTGTCCCTTTCTGGTCGTTTGGGGACTTCATTTGTGGGTAAACGGGGTATTTATTCTGTGGAAAATAATAATATAACAAACATGTCATTTTACTTTTAATGGCTAATTATGCTGTACTTTCTGTTGTACCATCAAAGAGTGGGGTGTAAATACTTTTTCATATGCACGGCAGTTTCAAATCCCTATATAAATATGGCTGTCTTTATAACTAAAGATAGCCATGTTTTATCATGGCTGCTTACTAAAATTCACTTTTTTCTTAATGTACGGGCGCTCCGTTTTCTCCTCCCTCTTTTTCCTCTCAGCAGAAGACAGACATTCCGTTGGATTTGAAGGGGAAAAGTGGACATTTACCGACTTCTGGCTCTCTTAATAAACTCCGGACAGCCCCATTGTTTCAGGCAGACAAAAGTTTATAACACGAAGCAGTGTTAATGTGCGTGAAAAAGCAGAGCTTACCCGAAAGCTCCTCTCCCAACAACTTTGATTTTCTCATACTTCTCCATCGTCGCTGCGCCTCAAACGTCTTCAACCGTCTCCTGGCAACCGTGCGACGGCACTACGGCAACCAACGAGGGACTAAAAGTCAAAAAGATATACTTTTTTCCTACTTTCTAGGATTGGCAACAACAGAGGCTCTTTTTTTTTTTGCTTCATTTTCTCTTTATGGTTTGGCAGTTGCAAGTACAGCAATTTATAAATAATTAATTATTCTACTGCCTTTCATTATTCCAGAGGTGGGTAGAGTAACCAAAGAGTGTACTCAAATAAGAGAAGCATTATTTTAGCATATATTTTACCCAAGTCAAAATATGCTAAAGTATTTAGCATACTTTTACTTTACTGAATAGTAAAAGGCAGCTATTTAAGAATGATTCAAGTAAGAGGAAAAAAAAGTATTTTGTAAAAAGGCTACTTTAGTTCTAATTAACAGTTCATCAACATCTGATTTATTATCTATTTATGGAATAAAATAAACACTAACATAATTACAAAAATTCAGGCAGAAGAAACTTTTTCAAATCAATCATCTTCAACCTAAAACATATACTAATATGCTAAAACAGAATAAAGTACTTATTCTGGTGAATAAATACTTCACCACACAGGATACTGCCACCACACAGAGGATGGTGACAGTATCCTTTGTGTACTTTATAGACTTAACTTCAAAATGGCTCAAGCAAGCTCAGCAGATAGAAAATAACAGAACAAATCTTGTGTGGAAACAAACAACAGCAAAAAGAAAATAAAAATCTCATGTTAAAATTATATGTCAATGTCTCAAACATTTTTGGTTAAAGCATGTTTGTTCTTTATTTGGTTTAGCTACTTGCAGTGGGTAAGGTATCCAGAAACTAAACTCAAGTTAGAGTAATGATAGTTCCTGATATCTTTTCTCAAGTAAACGTAAAACATATTCTTCTGGAGAAATAAAAGAAAAGACTCCTAAAAGTATATTTGTTAAAAAAAGAGAGATAATATCTGCTTTTAGCTATGCATTCATTACATAACTAAGAATTACATAGAAAAACTCAGAAATTATCAACAGATTTGTGGAGAATGAATTAAATAGCTGGAACAAAATGTGCAATAATATAAAGTGTGTGTCAAAACTTCAACAGCTTGAGGTAGAAAGTTGTACAGCAGTCTGGTGGTTCTGCCTCTGTGAAATCACACAATTCATAATGGCAGCAGTTCATCAAGTTCACAGAGAGGGTGTGAGGAGTCTCTGACAATCTTCACAGTCGTGTTCCAGAAGCTTCTCTGAAACAGATCCTGCAGAGAGAGAAAAAGAGAAAGAGAGAGAGATAGAGAGGTAGACTGAGAAAAAGCATTGGTCCATCAGGCTATACTTTAAATAGCATTTAACAAAATGTTTATTAAGATTCATTTAGATATCCACGTAGTAGTGCTGTTTTCATTTTAAAGGTACAAAACGTCACCAAGAAAGTGTGGTCTAAACCTTTTTAGACAAGATAAAGAACAAAACTCAAGGAACATCTGCTATTTTATCAGCACAAACTTGACCTCTTGTTCCATCGATGAAACTAAAACCTACTGTTCTCCATCAGTGGGTTCTGCCTCTCCCTTGAGTGTCAACTGATACTCTTTATAAGGCTGCGACAAATACAGTACAACATAATCATGATGTGAAACTGATGCCGATTATGAGGTTTCTTGACTGAGTTCAAGAAACAAAAACAAAACTCCTTCATGTGTTATGGTCGGATCTCAGGGTTTTATTATTCTGACTCTGGAAATTCGAATCAATACCTTGTCCAGGTGTCAAAGCTAAATGCAAAACCTATGTATTTACATATACAGCACATTTAAAAACAGCAAGTCACAACAGACAGGAAGTAGAACCAAAAGACCTGAATGATGTGAAAGGTTGATACGACTACAACAGTGTCATGATTGTGCGGTGGTTGGTGGTGGACTCAAACAAAGAAAGGCAGAGGTGGCAAGTAGAGTTTGCAGCTTAATTTAAAAAAAAAAAAGAATAACAAAAACCTTGGAAAACTCATGGAGCCAGAGCAGAGCAAAAAAAAATAAACAGGACGCTAGGAACAAAAACATTTGAACATTAATTTGTTCTAAGCCTTTGTTCAGGGCATGGATTGTTTTGGAGTCACCTGGTGACATCGTAATGAAAACCTGTATATCATCTGCTTAGCTATGGTAAATAATCTTATTGCTTCTTTCTAGCTGCAGCAAGCTAGAAACAAGCTACATGCTAGCAGGAGCATGTATATATAAATAGGAGGGATAAAGACATCCCAGATGCCTGACTGAAACCAGCCTTGTAATAGTCGGGACGAGTTGAGATAAAAGCATGTATTATTCTAAAACCTAGTATTTTCATTCTAGTGAGCGTATAATTTAAATTTTTTCAGAATGTCGTCAACCTAAGCAGCCATTTTTCAAAATTACTCATTATTTTAACCTTCCAATTGACTGCCTTTAGGTCTGCAAAATGTCTCTTTCTGAGAAATATGTTCCTGACCCACGTGGACATAAACGGGTTATGTGAAAAGTTAGGTTGAGATGTAATTTTGTCATTAGTGGGACATCAAGTTCTGCAGTGTTGCTTCCATATACCTGGTAATTATTAAGCATCTTCCCCATTTCCTACGCAGGAAGGAGGGTCTGCGACCACTAGTGTCTTCTGTCTGCCATGATGGGATAATAAATGCTTTGTGCAGTGACAAAGCCCGCTCTGTGTGGGGAAGCACATGCTTCCTCTGTCATTATCAATCTGAAATAATCATGCATTGCCACAAACAATCATCTGCGCGTAACCGAACCTTCTCTTCAATCCCTCTCTCTCTCTGTCTTTTTTTTTTCAAAAAAGAATCTCCTCAGATGGAAGTCAGATTAGTCGCCAGTTTCACAAACAATGGTTTGCTCTTTCTCAGGAATATAGCATGGCAGCACCTGAAGGAGCCTCAAGGTCTCGGCATGCCACTCCTCCGACCCGCTCAGTCACATATTTAACCTTCTGTCAGCAGGCCCGCCGCTCAGTCATCCTGCAGGAATGAAGCGAGCTGCACAGTGAAACCGATGCCGATTATGAGGTATGAGCCCACGCCTGAGGAGCTTAATCTTTTTAATCTCTGGAGATTTCTTCAAAATAATGACAGGAAGTCGTGGGTGGCTGTTTTTTTTTTACACACGTCACAAAGTCCCTCTTGACATTTGACACAGAACCGTGAACTTTAAAGGTAATGAAAACCTTCGGAACCCATGCTTGCGTGTCAGTTGGGAGCACGCGTTCCTGAGATATTGATAAATATCTCAAGAAAATATTCATGCCTCTTGAGATCATTCTCATTTTTGTCAAGTGACAAACTCAAATTTCAGTTTATTTTATTTTGTCTGGATTTTTGTTTTCATTATTTTCTTATTCTAGTTTGTCCTCCTTTTTCTCTGGACAAGAAAAGGTGCCCTTGTGAAATCTTTTTTTAGTTTGTTTCCTTGACAGTGTGTTGTCATTTTCTAGATTTAAAATGATATTAAGTGCCCACATTTTTAACTCTGCCTGTATTAATTCTCACAATAAGTACCCTTTCTTTCCTCTCGAGCAGCTGCCCCCCAAAATGTCTGAGAACCCCACTGGATACATGGGTGTGGTGAAGATATCAGAGAGCTAACTGAGCATAGTTTTGTTCAGTTTACTGATGAGTAAGAATGATCAGATTAGTCTTAAATTAACTCTCTAATCACTGATCATTTAAGAAGAAATTCAGATTGGAATTTGAATTACTCTCCAGTTATAAATAGCATTAGATATTGAGTTAGCCATAATTCCACTGTAGTTATTTGATAATGAAACACATTATTAAGCAGAATTTTCAAACCTAATCAGAAAGGTGGCAGCCTCAGAAAGTTTAAATATCTAAAGTATTTAGGGGAGGACAGCTAAAAAAACAAAAAAAAACAAACAAAAAAATAAAATAAATAATAATAATAATAATCTATAATTTAAAGACATTTTTCAGCAGATTTCAAGTGGGGGCCACGCCCGTTACCCCTTCTTGGGGGCACCGCTGATTCAGAATCAGAATAATTCGAAGCAAAATTAATTAAAAATTGAAGTTCGAATTATTTATATTAACAAAACTGATAAATTGCTTGTATCAATTTATTGTCCAGATTTTCTTTCTATTTGAAAATCAAATCCTCCACAAAAAAAGTAAAACAAGACCACAGGATCAATACGATTGTGTCACAAACCAACCGGACACATACGAGTTCCTCAACAGATCAAACCGTCTCGAGCCGAGAACAACAGCGCCTGTCCTGAAACATTCTGCTCTACAGTTTCATAGAAATCCTGACAAATTACAAGTTTCTGTTGTTCGAAAGGACAAAGAGAGTGAAAGTCCTTTGGCGTTTCTCGGCGAGGCGGCCAGGAAACCGAGTCTTCAGTGTTGCGTTACATTTAGCGCAGGTTGTTCTGTTCCAACGGGCCTGGGGATGTTACATGACACGTCTTACACGCCTGGAGTTCCGGCAGGTCTAACATCTGCAGAGGTTACAAACACCTTCTAATGGAGCATGATGACATGTCCTGAATTACTTGAAGCCGCTGGAAAGCCAAGCGCTTATAGGTTGTTTTGAAATCAATTTAATAAATCATCAAAGAGTTTTCTAGTAAGTCACAGAAGAAGATTGAAGAGGAAGGCGCCCTCTGGTGGTGTGATAAGATGCAGATGTTTGATTCCCAAGTGAAACCTTGCTGCCATCTAATAGATAGATAGATAGATAGATAGATAGATAGATAGATAGATAGATAGATAGATAGATAGATAGATAGATAGATAGATAGATAGATAGATATTTTTTAGGTTTTTCTTTACAATTGCATAAACTAAAGAGGCAGTGTTATGTATTTTCCAGAGACATAGTGTCATTTTCTTTTATCACGATCAAGTAATGATGTTAGCTTCAATGGTTTTAAAAATGCTGTGTATATATCAAGCATAACTTTACAAAAAAAAATCACTTTGTAATTTAACACCTCTGTCTCTTTAAGAAGCTCCTGCTCTTTTTGACACTCTGCCCTTAGCATGTCATCACAACAGTCAATTTTGCTGTATACAACCATTCTTAGGAGTGTAAGACTGACTCAGTAGTTCATATGATAAGCCCACCGGGTGTTTGCTAATTGCTGCTGCTGCTAGTCCGGAGGAGCTAAGATGCTCTGTGAGGCAGAAGCCTGGCTTGAAACTGCAGCTTCAAGGAGGAGCTTTGTGGAAATAGGCTGAGCTTTGAGAGAGCAGTGAGAGCAAGCCTTCTGTGACCCCCCAGAATGGTTGCCATGGGAGATTCAAGGATTTCTTAAACACACAATCAAATCAACACTGTTAGTGTGTTTTTGATGAGGGAATGATTTTATGACATGATTTAAAGAAAAAAAAAATTCTACACCCCCTCCACCCATAACTGCTTTATTTCATTAACAATGAGGTACACTTCCTTGCATCACCAGACAGCAGAAAGGCCATCCAAGGCTAATACTCAAGGATTGTCGCTCCCTTCCAGTTGACTCAGAGACTCCAGACATACTTTAGAGTTCATGCAGTCAGACTGCAAGCTGTCAACACCTGAAGCAGATGAGTTTCAGTTAAAGACAGAGTGTGTAATTAAAAAAAAATACAATACATAAAATACAAACATGGAATCACATAAAACACAAAATGTGATTACTGTGTCCAAGGTTTGTATGAGGCTTCCACGAGTTCAGCTGTAAATGATCCGATAGGATGCTTCACCTCTACTTGTATTGTGTACCGTAGAGGGAGAAATAACAACAGAAAACAATGGCTGATGGGTAAATGAGAACATTATTACAAAATTAAAGGGCTATAAACACATTTCCAAACTCCCAATATAAGTCTGAAGGTACTCAGAATCACTATTGTACGTAACTGCCTTTGATAGTATAATCTTCATGAGAAACTGAAATAACGAACTTAAAAAACACTGAACACAAGTAGTTTGCAAAACAATTCTTTAGCTTTCTTATCCAGTAACTTCACTGGCACTTCCTGTATGAATTATAGGGAAACAGAAACATGAAGGACTGAAATGTACAACACTGCAACAGGGGGACATCCACTCACCAGTGGTCAGAAATGTAAGTAAAGCACAAAGAAAAGAAATAGAAATATTTTCATATGTAAAATCTTACTTAAAATATCTTAATGGAAAAAAAGACACATTTTTCCATATCCCTACACAGGTATGATCATGCCTGACAAGATGTTTTGTTGTGTTATCATTAATGGTTTCAGATGGAAACAAAAAATCAAATTACCAAAATCATTTGCTAATTTTTTGGCATCTTCCAAACTTTATCTTTCACAAACAAACTATCTTGTGACGTCACTGCACAAAATTAGTCATCTGTATTTGTTTAAAATAGTCATGGCAACATTCCTTAGAAAATCCAATTTAATCCAAAGCCCTGTACAAGCATCACACTGATGTGTCTGCCTGTGTGTTATGGAGAGTGAAGAATGCCAAATCACAATAAATAAATAAGTCGTTCAATAATTAAGATGTGTCTTTACTGTTAAGTTTGTGGTAAACAAATTGAAGCAATTTAAATGGATGAAGTTATTTCTGTTCAGTCATTGCAAATTTGAAAGAAGTCGTCTTGACAGCCAATCAGATGCCAGGTTCTATAGAATGTTGCCCTCGACCCGCCCACTGAATTTGATGGGTGAAGTTGACAGTTTGAATGATGTTCTTGAAACAAAGCCATAACATTTAATTGAGGCATAGCCTTGGGAAAACGGTAATCAATTTTAAGCACTGCGCTGCCCTCTGGTGGTCAGAATGTGCAACCACAGAGACCGACTCCATGAGCATGTTGAAGTGTGCGAAACATGCAGATGGCAAATAAAATAAACAAAACAAAATCATGCTATAGCATTGCTGCTGTAGATGAACACCTTAAACGTAATAGTTCATAAGCCAAACTCGGCTACATTTCATAAATCAATTCTGTAATTTTTTTCCCGTTTTAAAAATTAATGACTTATGATATTGAAATAGTCATGTCATAAGGTATAAATTATAATTCTTTTAATGGAAAAAAAATCCACGTTTTTCGATACAATTTTAGATTGCGCTGGTTTCTCAGCTATTGGAAACACCTTTTCGCATCACACGAGTCACGCGAGGTATAACCGGATGTTACTACTACCGAAAACGAAGAATTAGCATGAGGTTTATTTTTTTCTCTTGACAGTGTGTAGCTGACTGTCCCGGAGAGTCATATTAAAGTGTTGAATCCATAGCTCTTCTGTAAAATCTCCGACTACTATTTCCCCCAAGGCCCAGCCGCTCCTAAATATAAGGCTTATCCGCCTGAAAGAGACTCCAATGTCTCCTCTGATTGGTTGATAGATAATAGGCGCTAGCGCCACAGCTGTGTTATGAATATATCTCATGTAACTATTTACATCTGCCGCTGCAGTGATTTTTTAATGACTTATCGCGTGAACAATCTTATTCACATGTGATTTTAATCTAATACCTTATAGTGGAAATGCCACAACTATAAAATTGTGTCGTTTTTTGTTTGCTTGTTTGTGTTTTGACATTAGCAGAACACAAGGATTTGCGCGCATTTGTAATGGTCATTGGGTTTTCTGATGAGAAAACCCAATGACCTTGTAAGCGCGTCACGTGCGGCCCATGATCACCGCATATCATTCTTTCTGAACGATTTCCACTGATGCCATTTCTTTCCTTTTGTTATTATTATTATTTTTGACGAGCATATTTCTGAACCACATTCCAGCAGCAGCAGCTTTGGTTTTTGGGAGTTTATTCCTTGCGTAACATAATCTTGGTGTGTCTGCCCCTCCTTGTTCCTGCGAGCCGAGGGAGCAGCCGCGACACCACCCACCCCCATCGCCTTCCTCCCTCCTCCTTTTCTTCCTTCATTCTGCACGGACAGCCGAGCTGAGCGCGGCTCGCCTCGTCATGTTTACGAAGCGCGGCGTGGAGAAAACCACCGCCGTCCCACTGGAATGATCCGACACGGAATCCCCCCTCCCTCCCTCGCCTTCATCCCCTGCCGGATCCGGACTTGGACCTGTGCGTAAAAACGCGAGACGGCATCAGTCAGATATCCGCCGTGCGGTGATTTGAGCGGAGGATCGTCTCCTCTTCTTTTTCTCCTGCACCACGCGCCCCATTACATAGGGAGGGAATCCATCTAATTTTGAAAAAATAAACAAAACAAACAACAACAAAAGAAAACAGCTCCTGTTGGAATTCTAGAGGAGCAGGGACGTAAAGAAGAGCATGGAGGCCCTGCTGTCTGTGCTGAAGGGCCACCCTGGCCCAGCGGTGCTGGTCTGCTCTCTGCTGTTCAGGGTGGCCCACCAGCTGCTGCAGAGGCTGCCCGTCCCCACTGTGGTCCGGCAGGACGCCTTCCGCTCCTGGAAGTGGAAGAACCTGTCCGTGTCCATGGTGCACTCGGTGCTGACCGGGACCTGGGCTCTGACCTGGTGAGTGACAGCTCTATCCATTCACTCGCCCGCTGCTCCACACTGAGGTGGCATTGTCTTGTTCCCGGTTCACATGATGTACAGTGTGTGGGTGTGTGTGTGTGTGTGTGTGTGTGTGTGTGTGTGTAGCAGTGACAGTCTGTGGCAATCAGGAGAACAAGAAGAAGGGCATGCTTGGACTGGGACAATGACATTCTTAGGTGGGGAGGGACACGCGGAGCTGCTTCTGTTGTTGGTGCTGTTGGTGTTTTCACTTCTGAGCTCCAGACAGAATAAGAAAAGACAAAAAAAAATCAACTGGAAAAACCTGATTTCCTATTGGGAAAGCATCAAAAGAGGGGCGGGGAATCAACACACATGACTCATTTCCCCACATTAAGAGTAACGTAATTACTTCTTTAATTTCTGAATCAGAAATGTGAAGGAATGACTCAATAACGCATGGCACGGTTTCGAGCCAAGCTTTCACTGTGGCGTTTTTACACACACACACAAAACGTTGAGCTATTAAAGGGGCGGTATCATGTAAAATTGACTTTTTTTTGAGCTTTTATGTTGTGTTATAATGTTATTCCCTCGTCAAAAATGGACCTGGAGGGTTGCCTTGATTCTTTCATGCATGTTTGAGAAATCCTTTAATTTCCATGGCAACCAGTTAGCTGTGCAAAACACCTGGTTGGACCTAGCTTTGCCTCTTTGGAGGACTTAAGCTTCCCAGATTCCAATCCATAGAGAACCTTTCTCCTACGACTTACACCAATCAGCTCCTTCAGATTAGCCAGCAGTAAATAGCAAACATTTATTGGACTGTGCATCTGCCAAGCTCATTATAAGAGCTACTTCTCACTGCAATGCTGGCTAAAGGGTTAACAGAGGAACGATGTTGTGAAGTGAAAATACCTCTGGTGAATACAGCTCAGAGTACCTTTAAAACATCCCCTGAAAGCATTGTTGTCTGTTGTTGGGGAGAAGAAGGTTTTTAAAAGGCTTTACTTACCGACGCCTCTGCTTAGTCAGGGCTTTCTGTCCTAAAATGAGCCGCTGTCTGTCTGACTCAGGTCCAGAGTCGTTAATCCGTCCTGTGTGTGTGTCTCTCTGCAGCGCGGTGATCTGGCCCGAGACGCTCAGCAACATCCACAAATTTCACAACACTCTGTCCTACCTGCTTATCTGCGTCTCCACAGGTCAGTAAATGTACCTCTGTCTGTTTTATGTGCCAAAACGAGATCCATGTCGCTTATAGTTTTTCTTTTTTTTTCACATTTTGTCACGTTACAAACATAAACAATGTAATTAATTAGTTTGATTTTTGGTTAGAGCAACATAAGTAACAAAAAGAAAACGTTGTTCTTTTAATTGTCGTTTTGAATGTGAAAATATGACAAAAATAGAAAAAAAACATGACGAGAAACTAACATTCTTCTTTTTAAATTTAAAATCTGAATTTACTGGAGAAGCCATGACTCGTTTTCAAATATATTCCAACACAAGCACCTAATTATAACGCCTGATTAGATGTTGGTTTGGTTACGTTATTATTACCTATCTTTTAGAAAATGTAAAGCTGATGACTGTAGTTCTCCTTTTGCAGTGGAAATTTGCAGGCCACTTATCAGATTTTTATGTTCCAAAGCCTTTTATCATTTTCCTTCCTTTTCCTCACAATTATGTACATAAAACCGCAACACAATACTGAACGTTTGTTGTTGTGCCCACATTAAGAGTCAGCAGTAACGTAAATACTTACTGCTGACTCACTTACTGTGATGTGTTAAAATACGAAGGGAAGTCTATATTTGAGAAGGTGACACAACCAAAAAAAAAAAAGGTTTTGTCTTAAAATCAGCCAAGTTATTTGATCTGTACGTGAGAATATTAAAATGTTATTGCACCCATCGCAGTGTGTGGGAGGGGTTCAACTGCATTTGCCTCCTATTACAAAAGAAACCTGTAATTATCTCACTTTCTGTTGTTTGAAGCAGTCGGCAGCTCCTCCTTTAATCCTAACAGACGAACGCTAGGGCTACCAAAAACAACCGTCTCAAGTCTTGGTGGTCTGTTCGAGTCTCTCTGTTGTGTGTGTGGTTTGGTTTTTGTGTCTCTAGGAGAACACAAGTCTGGTGAGAGCTTCCATCCCCCCTAACAACTGCAAACAGTTCCTCAGAGCCCAAATACAAATGAAATGAGAGGTTAGGAGCATTAACAGAGCAGCTGTTTGTGTGTCATGCTCACCTCAGAGTGGCGCTCGTAAAAATAAATAAATGAAAAAAATCCCAGGCAGTGGAAATATTTCAGCTGAATCAGGCTGTCACAGTTTAATAATCAAATGAGAAACGTTTAGTTTGCATGTCTGGAATATGATGACTGGAGACTTTTCGCTTTCCTGTCAAAGGAGTTTAATAGTCACACAAAAAAGAGAAACGTTATCTAATTGTATTTAAAAAAAAAAAACAATAACTCCAATGCTGCAAACTATGGAGTGGTATTAGGTCCAAAATTAAGACTGCTGTGCACCAAGCAGTGGCTACTTCCTTTTCACAGGAGGCTATAATTATTATGAAGTGACAGCTGCTAATGTGATTAATGAGAGGCCAGTGCTCGTAAAAATGAGAAAGAGAGTACACCTTGTGTTAGCATTGTACTGGCATGTGAGTAGCATGGTCACCCACTGGATAGCAGCTACTCTGCTGTCCAGCAGGCTAGTGTTAGCATTGGAGAGGCTAACGACTAGCATACCTGGTTTAGGCTCACACTTCATCAAGAAATATAGTGGACATAAAATATCCATAGGCAACATATAGGTATTGAAACGTGTTCTTTTGATACATTACATCACATACAATTCAATATCACATCAAGCATGAACACAGCACTGTACAATACAGAGCTGAAGTTGGCTTCCGAACGTCCAGGACAGGAGACGTCACCAGGACCGATCAGCCAATCAGAAATAGATTTGGAAACATGTGGCCTCGTCTCATTACTCATCTAATCAGAAAAATTTAATCTATGACTATTTTCTACCAAACTGTTTAATTTCAGACAGAAAGCAAGAATGAAATGTTAAAAAAGATGCCATTGTTGGTGAAAAAAAAAATCTTCATGGCCAAAGCAGTTTCTCGCTTTCAAGGAAGAGAGACTAATTTCAGAGAATAACACTGTATTACCAAATTCATAATTTCTTGAAGCTAGTAAAAATCAATTATTCATGTGGAATCTATGAATCCCAATGCATTTTAAAAGGTGTTGTCGAACATAGTTAAATGTGTGTGTAAGGTCAGTTCTGTTGTGTTGGTGTGTAACTACACTTTCATTTTGAAGCTGTATCTGTTTGTTAATTTAGTTTTTTATTTTTATTTTTATGGATAGTCCATGTCTTTACCTCACATCACATTAATACCAAACTACTTTTTTTTTCCCCAGGTTACTTTGTGCATGATGCAGGCGATATCATTCTGACGGGACACGGCAGAGGATCATGGGAGTTTTTACTCCATCACGCGATGGTAAGATGTTTGTGCTCATGCTTTTGTTTTTAACTCGATAAAGCTGCCGTTTCTGGTTCAGACAGCACATCTGAGTCACAAGACAAAAGAGAGATAACATCAAGCTCTGCAATGTGTTGGGCAGGTTCCAAGGACGTGGAATAAAAAGGAGAGTTGAAATTAACCTGATGGTTTCGTTTTACCTCTTTTTTTTTTACCAAACAACGTGTAGATGACTAAAGAAAACAGGATTTCCATTGATGCAGAAACATTGCTGGACTTTTGTCCCACTTAATGTTTTTTTTTTTGCTTTAAATGTTAATGAATTCTAGTAGAATTTCTACTCAGGATGTGTCTATTAAATCTAACACATTCAGCTTTTACTGCAATAGCAGAATCTCACACCAAAAAAATAAAAAATTCAACTTTTAAACAGATTGTGGTGCTCTAAAATGGGGCTGGACAATACGGCTGAAAAACGTATTATGACATAAAGGTTTCACAACAGTCGATATTGATAATTATTAGTGTTGTCTAGGCCTGTTGCAA